CCGCCTCCTGCCGTCACCGCTGCCGGCAGTGGAACCGGAGTGCCTGGCTGCCAGCGGCCCCGCAGCGCGGGCTTCCCGTTCGGTGATCCTTTAAGCGGAGCACGACCTTCCCTGGTCCTGGAGAGCCCCCTGGATAAGACGCGTCTGTCGTCAGGAACGCGCCGAGACGGGGTCTTGGGCTGCTCCTGCGCTCACGCAGCGAGCAGGGGGCTGGCATTTCGCGTAGCGTTTTCCCACTTGAAGGAACCATGAGCCTCCCCCACGTTTTCATTCACTAGCTGCTTGCTTTCGTGGCTGTGTTTTTATAGCAAAGCTCTCGCGTTTGGATAACAACCAGTCGCTGTTTGCGGGGGGCACGCAGAATTTTCTTGCAGATTCGTGGGTAGGTCATTCATATTTCTGTACGTACTTCAAGGAGGCCGAGTACCTTGTCAGGAAAGAGATTTACGCTTGCAAGGGCGCCTGTAAGCCAGGAACCAGTCTGCTCCAGTGCTGAAAAATATTCTTTAAGCATTGGTCCTTCCTCTGGCAGGACCAGACCTGTTCTGCATGCCTCTCGGTTTGGGTTTTGTTCACTGGTGTCGCCTTTTCCGCTATAAGATGGGGTCTTCAGGTTTAATAAAGAGCAGGTTAACACTGCTTTGCCTCTCACAGTAGAGAAAAACAAGCCAAAGTGCACTTCTGCTGCCTGCTCAGTTGTCAGTCCTTAATGCTTCTGTGTGATTTGCTTTCTGTACATCTGTCTTCTTTCGTGTTGCTCCATACGCTTGGAACAACATCATTCCTCTTGTGCATGCAGTGCTGATGCTTAAGGAAGTCCAGGGTTTTAACTTCTCCACCGCTGACCGACAGTTTCAGCTGCCGACCTGTGTAATACCGCTTTCTCTCTCGTGTCTGCACCGTTTAGAAGAGCCCTGCAATGCAAAGCCTGTGGTACTTTGTGGTTCTTTGTAGGCTGGTGGAGGGGAGCCAGGAGTGTGCTGAGTCCGGTTGTGTAAAAACAGAGTCTTGCTGAAGCTGATGGGTGTTTTCAGTCTGGCCCATGCTGTGCTCTCTCCTTTTTGTTACCATCATCTGTGGTGTAACCTAAGTCTGAGTGTAAACCTTCCCTTGCCATACAGCCTGCTCGTGTATCTGCTGAGCCCATTGCTTCTTCAAGTGGGATTGCTTGCATTCAGCTGTGTCATATGGCTTTGTGGTTAATAATTGGCGCATTTATTAATCATAAACCTGTTTTTTCATTTTGGAAGCAGAGATGTCAACCCAGGACCCCAATCCAGTATGGCTGAAGTGTTGTTCCATGTGCCTGGTGTGCATAACGCTGTATTTTTGTTTCTCTTCTTTAGATGATGAGAGTCACGCAGAATCAAAGCTTCAGCACGAACAAGATAAATCAAACTCCCTTCCCATTCCTTCAGTTTCCAAGCGAGTTGTGCTTGGCGATTCTGTCTGTAACGTGGCAGGCGCAGCTGACCACGCAGGCAGCATGGTAGACCTCAAAGGGGATAAGGACTTGTTCAGTAGAACCCCAGAGCTTGTCAGTGAGGGCACAGGTGAGCTCCGTCACCGTAATAGAGCGGAACTGCCATCTGAAGCTGCACCACGTCCACCTAGACATGGATTAGACCAGTACTTATCCAGATTTGATGAAGCTCTGAAGCTGAGGAACCAGCTGATGAATGAGAAGCCAAGCCAAGAGAATGGGAATGCAGTGGAGGAGTTTGACTCTTTCCGCATTTTTAGATTGGTGGGATGTGCTGTGCTTGCCATCGCAGTCAGGGCTTTTGTGTGCAAGTACTTGGTGAGTTCAGGGAAACAAACAATACTATTCTGTTTTGCTAGTTTACTGCAAATTTACTATGAAATCCTCTTTATCGAGGGCTGAAGTTTATCAGTAGTGACTGAGTTGGGAACTTCAGGCACTCTGTACATTTCCAACAAATGCATAAAACAGTCTTTGAGGAGCAGAAACCCTGGAATAGTTCTTGCAGCTGAAATCCCCTGCAAGTTTAAGCCCTTTGTCAGCATGAGTCAGCTGCTCTTCTAGTTTGGAGTCTAGAAAAGAAGAATAGAGTAAGTGCAACAATAGTTGTCCCAAGATAAGCAGATCCTACTCATCTGTCAGTCTTCTGAGAAAAGTAGTTCTTAAGTATTCCAGGTGTCTGCCAATATAGGCAGACAATATTCCTAGTATTCCAGGTACAGCTTACCACCTCCTGGATCACTGGGCTCATTTTTACATGCTGCTGTACTCTTCTGTGATTTCAGTGGTTTAGGCTCAAGGGAAACAAACAAGGCAGAAACTTATTTCTGACATGTAACTTGTCTACTTAGGTTTGTAATATTCAGAAATGCTGTTGTCCACACATTATTTTTTGTAACTGTCTAATTTTCTTCTGTGACTTGGGAAACTTTAAATGTTTGTTTTCTTCGCTGTTACTTCTGACCAAGTTAATTTTTGTATATTCTTTTCTGTTCCTTCAGTCAATATTTGCACCATTTCTTACTCTGCAACTTGCTTACATGGGACTGTCCAAGTACTTTCCAAAGGTAAAGTATTTTTTTCAGAATTAGATTAATTTGAAATGTCTTAAACTTCTGCTTAGATTGTAGTGTTTTAGGACCAATGCATGTAAAGTATTCTTCCCTCGTTTTAAACTGTAGAATTGAGAGTTACCAAATGCTGATAGTTTATACTAGTTTTTAATCTTCCTAGATTTAGGCCAAATCTTTCTTTAAAGTTGCTGTGAAAATGTGGGCTAGCAACTTGTTTAGCTGTAGCCTGATGAAAAACATCTGACCAGGAAAGCCAGGTGGTTCTTTCTTGTCTTTAGGAAACTTCTGCTTTTCCCCTAGGCCGTGTTCTTTACTGTTTGCTCCATCAGCAGCCGTTGTGCATGTGATACCTGGATGAAATCTGGGAGGGTGTTCCTTAAAAAATGAGACAGTCCATGTGATCTGAGGGCTCTGCGTTCCATTGCTAGTATCAGTTTGAATGCCAGCTTCAAATGAAACATTTATTTGTGTGAGAAACTTGTTGCTTATTAGCAAGAATCGCTATATCAATTGCTTTATATTTATAGACTGGTTAATTGTGCTGAAGTATTTGTTTAGTTGATGATCTTGTGAGGTTTGCAGTGCAAAGCAGGATTGAGTGATGCTCAATCCATAGTTGAAAAGGAAAGTTTCATTTTCCCTTCATTTTTTCTCTCCTGAAACCTGGAAAGATTCTTGAAAGGTTAATTTGGGTTTGGATTAAATTAAAATAGCCAGCAAGTATCATCAAGTTATCAAAATTTTGAGCTACCATCACCTTTTCCTGCCTGTCAGACTTTGCATCCTCAGGATTCCTTCACCTTAAGGAGAGAAGAACAGCTTTCAGAAGGCTTTGGGGCATTTCTGAGTTCAGAGGGTAACGCTGCCAAATGGAGTCATACTGAAATAGAAACAAACAGTTGGTTTTCAATTCTAAATCATTTTTCTGTGTTAGAAAAGTCACAGTATTTTTTGCCATGTGGTGTGATGAAATTAATCCTGTTCCGCCAGTGGAGATGCCTGGCTTGGCATCTCACACCCCGATTACCCTTGTCTGGGACTCTTCCCACTCCTGGAGAAGCAGCTGCACAGCCCCACTTTACAGCCTGCTCGGAGCGCCAGCGTGAAGTGGGCGTAATATCTGTGATGAATTATGTCTGCTGTTAACCAGCCTCTCTCAGCCCCCGTGGATCCATCGCAGCATGAAGCTGTAGCTAGGATGGGTGTTGCGCATGCTGGAGCGTGTCTGGAGAGAATCAATCCAACCCTGCTGCTCTTGCCGACAAATTTGGAATGTGCCCGGCTGTGTGTGAAATTGGTACATTTGTGACATGTAAAGCAGGATGGGATTATAACAGCAGAACTAACGTGACACTGTGGGCTTTTTTCTTCTAGTGTGAGAAGAAGGTGAAAACGACGGTACTAACGGCTGCGCTCTTGCTGTCTGGAATCCCTGCGGAAGTGATCAGTCGCTCCATGGACACCTACAGCAAAATGGGAGATGTTTTCACAGACCTTTGTGTCTATTTCTTTACTTTTATCTTTTGCCATGAACTTACTCTGTTTTTTGGCTCTGAAGTACCATGATGGCCGTAGAATTCGACGCAGTAGTGATACTAAAGCTTTCTGGACTGTATTCCTTTAACGTCCGACTGTGCAGACAGGTTTAAACCTCCATTAAAATCCTTACCTGTTGGAATGCTTGAAAGGAGTCTTAAATCCAGTCGTTTTGGGAAAGGAAGAGCAGGGTCCCAGACTGCCAGTTGTGTTCAGTTTGTTGAAATACTGTGTCTGCCCGTTCCCAGTGTGAAGAATAGGATGCAAGTGTCGGTGGATGATTCATTTGGTTTAGTTAGATGATGCCCTTCTCAGCCCCCTTCATACACATTTACAGAGCTGCCTTTGTTCTTTTCCATGAGGGCAAAGAGAAGGGAATTCCGTTCAGCAGAACCATATATATACCTGTATGTGCAGTATGCCTATAGCTAACGAGACCTGGTCGTTTTGTGGTGTTGCCGTTTTTTAAAGAAAGCTCCAAATAAAAGAAATCCCTGTATTCTGTTGATCAAATTCAGAATGTCGAACTAAGTAGCTGCTTCTGGAGAACGTTGGTGAAACGTGCCACTTCGCTGTCCTAATCCTTGCCTGGCTGTTTGTTGTGATTGTGACTACATTCGTTTGCTGATGACAGTGCAAAACGACTCAGCAAAACCCAGCACTGAAAAAGTCCTGGTGCTTACGGATGTCATTTAAAAAGTAGGAGGAAATTGTTCATCTCACCTGCTTGTGAGTTTCCAGCAACCTCACCCCAGCGTAGCTCATTCATGTGCTGTCATTCCGATGCCTCTTCCGTAACCGTTGTCTCAGGAGGGGAAGGCTGTATATATTGGCAAGCAGCCTGCAGTATCCCACGTTTGCTCTGCTCTATGTAAAACTTACAGTTCTTTCCTAGTTCCTTGCAGGATTGCATGAGACAGCTTTTAATACGACAGCAGTTTCTGCAGTTTGTCTCTCTCTGACCAGGCGTTTGCACGTAAACGGGATCGTAACTGCGGAGGAGTGCTGCTCCTGCCATGTGACGCTGGTCTCCGGTTCAGCCCGGCTGATGATGCCCACTTTTTTGGGGTGTTCTTGAGATCGCCCCAGTGAAATTACAGTAGCCATTCCTGTTTGAAGCCTGTGGGTTGCGTGTGACAGGGTGGTAAGAAACTGTGCTTTGAGCTGAGTCCCACAGGGCGGCTTTTGGCTTTTCTGCTGGGGATGGCCAGCCGCGTAGGTGGAAAGGCGGCCAAGACGGGTGGATCCTGTCCCTGGATGCAGCAGCCAGCTGGCGAAGGCTCTCGTCAGCCTTGTATGAATTTTGCACAGCGAGAGGAGGGAAGTCTCGTTCCAACTAGCCAGCTTAAACGCTGACCTGAATCTGTGGAAACTTCTGTTGAGGCTGAATTTGGTATCATTTTCAACTTGCTGTTTTTTGTTTAGAATCTGGACTTTCAGGTAGTCTGGGCCAACGCCTTTTGTTAGCGTAGAGAAACGCCTATTGATGTTAATATTCGCTGAAATTTTTTTAGGGAGCAAGACTGATTATACCTCTTTAAAGTCATCAGCCCTATTTTCTGCTTAATCTTTTCTCTTAAAGCATCCCTCTGCAATTTCCTCACTGCGCTTCTGACTCCAAAATTATATACATGTTTGTTTGTGGCATGAAAACAAGAAGCTTATCTTTTGATTTGATGATTTTTGTGTTTTTACAGATTATTTTACGAGTATTATGTTACAGGTATCCAGGGCTGGGCTGCAAAAGATTCTGACTTAGGTCTGTAAGCACCAATATTTACTGAGAAGCTTTAAATTTGCTTGGTTGAGGCAGGAGTTTGGTGGATTGAAATCGCTGTCATTCCAACGAAGGTGGAGATACAACAGTAAGGACTTTGCTCGAAAGCTCCACTTGTTCTGACTCTGAACGTGCCCAGACGTAATACAAATAAATTGCTAAAATACTGTGTACTAACATTTGCAGAAAACAATGAATTTTTAATCCTCGGCATAAAAATTTAATCCTAATCATCTAATTACTAAGGAAAGAGCTGACCCACCTGCTGCGTGTTGACTCGACCCCTTGCGCTGTCCTTGTACCTGAGGAGGGACGAGGTGGGGCTTCTTCTAAAGTGGGAAAAGAAATCTTGCTGCGAGACCTAACCTGGAACTTTTCAGCCCGTAAACCCTTGGTTTTTTCCCCTGATGACTTCAAGGTGGGCTGGAGGAACCCTCCCTGGCCGTGGGAGAAAGGACATGGTGCCGGAGGGGCTTGTACTGAATGATGCTTCTTCCCCTGTGGTCCAGAAATGAATGCCTTTTAGTCCGTTTTTAACTTATCTCTGTTTGCGTACATAATTCTATTTAATGTTTATTGCCAAACTGATTGTTTTTTATTAAAAGTATATCTGTTACCCCCTTCCTTGCTGGTTTGTCCTGGCTGCGGAGGAGGGTTGTGGGGCGGGATGGACGCTTTGCACTGGGCTGGGCAGCAAGGGCAGGGCTGAGGCGTCTGTCTGGGCAGTTGCGATGAGCGAGGCGGCGGACAGCTGCCGGGCGCTGCCCGTTTTGGGGGCGCTGCCCGTTTTGC